CATTCACAGTGAGGAAATCGATTGTTTATGTTCTTGCCTAGAGCATTATTCGATACGGCATAACAGTATTTGGTAATTGTGCAAAAGTGTAGCAGACTAAAATTGACCGTGTTCTGAAAAACTTGTTAAGAAGTGTCGGTTACCATTTGGATATCTCCGTTGACACGGACATTTTCGAAACGCTACAAATGCCAAGCTTCCGCTCTTTTTTCCTGCAATGTGTTGTTCTACGGCACTTCTGGGACAGCGATTTCTTGCAACCCTATGTATCCCCAAGAGATTTGCGTAGGACGAATCGATTTGAGATCCCCCAGTGTTTCACAAGGTACGGCACACGTGAACGTTCTTACTATATCCCTTTGACATTTGATAAACTTCCCGAATGTTTCTTTGCTGATATTATTAATAAGATAAAATTGAAGAAGTTATTCAACAATTTATGAGTCTGAGTTTGTTAATACGTGCTTGTTCTACTTTCTGTTAGTGTTGTACTTTTTTCCGGCTGAAGTGTATCGGTTATCTGTGTTGATGCTATCGACCCTGTCGTTCGACTGCCGTGTCCTGTCCGTCAAGCCTGCATTGGCTTGGACCAGACTTGGACGTAGTTCAACTACTCTACTCAAACTACTGTAGTTTAACTACTTTTCCGAGTAACTTGGTAACTTTCAATTACAACTCTATTTGGGTAATTAGTAGTTTAATTTAACTACGTTTTTCAGGTAACTTCTACTCAAATTAATAACTACTTTCGAAATTTAATCCTACCTTTTTTTTCATCACAAAAGTTTGAGTGCAGAAATAAATAAGACGCTGGCAGATTAAGTGGTATTCACGAACAAGGGGCCCCCTCACATTCCGTTCCCACGCACTTACACTCGGCAGCCCTAGTAACTGCATCAGAGGCGTCCTTGGGCCAAGGTGGCGACGTCGAGCAGCCAAAACATAACACCGGCGCGCACGAACGCAGTCAGAGATGCTTGACAAGCCTTGGTCGTGTGTTGACCTAATCCGGTAATGCACGCAAGCGCCGCGTTTCCAGCTGCAAACGTGAAAGAAGGGGACACTCCGAGGGTTGTTGTTGTTTTCATGGTGTGCCTTTAGTGAGTTCTGACTCAAGTGGTAGGTTCCACGGTAGGCGCCACTGGGATGACCTCGCAACTGGGCGCCTGTTCTCGTGGTCGCCTCGTCGTCAGCGCATACTCCCTTGCAAAGCCGGACTCCCCGCGCACAAACGCAGACACGGATAATCCGTTCATGGGAGCACGTTCCCTCTTCCAGCTGCAACTGTACGAGCGCCGATGCTTGTTCACGTAATCCTTCGCGCCCTTCCGACCTTCCACGCCAGTGAGACCTCCTCTTTGTTGAAAACGTTTTACTTGTCAGGGCGCGTCAGGATACCGTAGTCGCCGGCGATGATTTCGAGTCACCCTTGGGAGATCCTTTTGTTGGACCCAACGTCAAATGCGAAAAACAATATTTTTTTTTTGTTTTTTTTAAGTGGCGTAGCTTTAAAGGGGCACTGACACCCCAAAGGTCGTATTTATTTTTATTGTCTAAAACGATGCAAGTTGTAGTCATAGACACGCAAAAAAAACCGCATCGCGAAAAAAAATTTTCCCGCGCGCGCGCGCGCCTTTTTATTTTTGGCGTTTGATTTTCCCGCCTCTCGCCTCCTCGCTTCTTTTGATCGGTGACGTCAAAAATCAGGAAATTTAGAAGCTTTGTAGGCGACATCTCTATAACATTTAATTACGGCAATCCTAAAACATGTTTTTTAACGCAATTGCGAACGCACTACGGCCCTTCTTTTTGAAATACCAAAAATCGGGAGTCCGTTGTGGTGCCGTCTCCTGGATTTCTATCCTCCAACGGAAAACAGGCGACACCGCTCAAAACCGGTCCGCCGGCGTTCGCTTGCGCTCGCTCCTTTCCTCCTCGCTTTGGGTCGCCATGGCAACATGGGCAACAGCAGGGAGTGGTGAAAGGAAGTGGACTCTCAGGTCTCCTCAATTTTTGACGTCAAGGCACCGGCGCCGATCGCGCGGGAACTTCGAATTCGGCATTTGGAAATTGTTTTTTTACTTCACGAATACTGAATTCCCAAATCTCAAATTTTGAGGGTAATGTCCCGGCATCGTTTTCAATCGTTTCGGATAATAAAAAAAAAATATGATTTTGATGTGTCAGTGCCCCTTTAACATTGCAACGAGAAGCGCAGTCGTCCGGATGATCTCATCGTCGTGGCGCGAGACTTGATCCCTTGACGGTGAGGTGCACTCGCTCGGCGAAATCTCCGAACGTCGTGAGAATAAAGAGGGGCCAGTCATAACAATCTCAACTTTCCGAAGAAAAAAAGGAGAGTTTGTTATAAAAAACCCTCTAGGCGAGGCAAGCCTCACATGTTTCGTCATGGACACCAAAGATGCCGACACTCGCTTACCCGACCCTGCACAGCCTGCTTTTGAAATTGAACGCTGTCTTTGCATCCAGCGCCACGGTGGGACGTCTCTTTAGCTTGACCGAGGACGTCATTAGAAGGAAAAGAGGAAAACTCTCCGATAACAACTTTGGAAGACAATTGCTTCGGCGAGCGAATAAACTATTTTGGAAGTCATAACATGACTGCATTTATTTCCGGCTCGCAGGGTTTTTCACTGATCGAAGCTTCTGTGCATTTTGCTGCCACAAAGACATAAAAAAGTAACTTCGAAATTAACTTCAAAGTAATTCGCTACTTTTTTACAGTAGTTAGTAGTTTACTCAATTACTATTACAAATGCGTAATTTCTACTCTACTTCAACTACTTTTGGCGTCGATACTCAGTAACTTAACTTAACTACCTTTTTTGAGTAATTTGTACATGTCTGGCTTGGACAGACCCGTCTCTGTATCTTGCATATTTGCTTCCGTTGAATAAAATTATTATTAATATTATTTTTATTTTTATGTATTGAAACATGGCCTTGAGTCTTTAGACCATAATATTTTCAATAGGCGGGTAAAGAAAAATGATTGGCTTCCAGTCTTTAGACACAGGGCCTTAAACTTTTCTATAGCTGGAAATAGCTGTATTATTAAATTTCTAAGGTCAACCTTGTTGCGCTATAGGGGGTAATAGCTTGCCATAGAATTTTCCATAGGCGACCATAGACCATTTTTGTATGGGATGTCTATGACTGGTTTATCATGGGTTCTGCCTCTTTATCTGTGCGAGTTATTGTTCATGACATCATATTCTCAAATGAATATTTTACCTAGGCTGACATGGTCATGTGACAGGTTCAAACAGCATGTCATTAATATTTGTCAAAAATATTTATTATATGTTGATTTCATGTTGTGTTGTCAGATATAAGCTGGAGACTAATTGATTTTTTTTACTGCTATACTTCCATCAATAAATACTTGTAAAAAAATGCTAATATTGGGCATTTCTCTCTCGTTTCTAATTTCTCAGTATAAAATTATTTGTAAGAAAATTATATATCAACTATACATAATATTTTGTTCGGAAACATAGAAATTGTATGCAAAAGAGGCACTTTATTATCAGCTATTTCCATGAATACAACTGGCATCATATAAAGCTAAACTGCTAACAACCGTTGCTTTTCGAGCAGAAGTATAACCTGTACATTTACGGAAAGATCCATATATAAGCTTTTTAAAACAAATTCGTATTATTTATTTAGCCCCCACTTCTACACCCTTCTTACACCCTTCTTTAATGGAGGGTGTAACACGAAACAGCACCCCTTTCGGTAAAATGATGAGGGTGTATTACTAGATCGTAGGGTGAAAAAGGGTGTAGCCGAGGGTGTACGTTGCTACAACACCCCTTTTACACCCCGAAAGGTGTAAAAACTTTCACTGTGTACCAGCCTTTAGCGCAGGCTTGGGACCGAGAAGGGCTGAAGGCCAGGCCAAGGGGAAGTCCGGAGAGCTCGGGTCCATCTCCCTGCTGCCTCCGGCGTAATCCTAAGTTCCGAACAACTCGGACGTCGTCGCTCGTCGACCTCGCACCCCCACGCGTACAATAAAACGTGCGTGGCACGTGCACGGCACGTGCATATTCCAAGTCGCATTATGCCGAGCGCATATTAGGCTGCATTTACATGGGCTGCATTTACGCGGATGCGACCTTAGCGCATCGAATCGAGATTTGACTATTTTGTGTGGTAGTAGAAACGTAGAAGAGGAAGCAGTGGTGAGACAGGCCGCGTGCAATACGCGCTCGATTCGATGCGCTAGAATCACGTTCATGGAAACATAGCCACAGTCTAATTAATAAAGGCGAAGTTCCTAGAGATTGAATTCCTCAGAAAACAATTGTTTTCGGAAACTCGAACGCCGTTACCCTTCCCTCTATACATGCCAGAAATAAAATACAGCGCCTATTTCGCATTCCTTTATCCCAGACGCTGTTGTGTGGTAAAACATAGAAAAATTAAAATGGAAGTCGAAGAATCACTTTAAAAGTTAGCGCCGGAGTTCCCGAGCAGCCATTCTTCAAGCCACACATTTTGTTTTCTCCTTTTGAGTTTTTTTTTCTTGTTTGTGTTTTGCCGAGTCGATGTTCCAGAATTCTGAAGTGTACACTGCGAATCCTTGACCTAAGAATTGCGTTCATTGTTTCTCTTGAATGACGAACACTAATTTTTGAAACCACATGTAGCGCAATGCATAAGCCAAGGGAGATAGTGATATAGAAGCTATAATTTTAAACACATTTTACTACTGAGTTACAAATACCGTATAAAATTTAATATTGGTAAAATTAAAAAAGATGCCCTTGAAAAAAAGTTTATAAAGGGTACAACAGGAAAGACTTCTACCGCAACACAGCCCAGCTTGTAGTCCTTGAACATCCCAGCATGAAGACTAAAGAGGATATATACATTTTTATAAATGATAAATTCAGGTGAAAGGCACGTGGTACTTTTTTATTTAAAGCAGTCGGCGTAACAAAAGTTACTTCCTTTGTTAACCACTGCACTAATCATTCACAAATCCTACTTTTCCTCTCATCCAACTGGTTCTTCCATTGTTTTAGTTTTTCCATCCCGTCTGCATTGCAATTCTATAAAGAAAGAAAATGCAACATTCGTTTTATAACAATCAAAATACACACACAAGCGTTCAAATACATTATCGTTTTGGTAACGTTGGTTTTTCAAATTACACGGCATTTTTTGTCCAATGAAATGCGTGATGAAAGATCCACCCCAAAACACGCACTAAAATGTACCTTTTTCAAAGGAGATTGAGATGCTTGGTAGGAGATTTAGTTTCAGTACTCGAACCAAGAGATAAGCTTTTAGCCTCCTAAATATTTTAATAAGGGTGCCGTTCCAGTATTTCAGGACTTTTACCAAATATCGTGCAGCATTCATTTTGGCATTCACAATCTATAATACGTGAATTAGATTATATCTCGTAATGCCAGTCGCAACAAAATTTAAAAAAAAGTGACGTTCATTTCCGCAAGTTACAGACAGAATGATCGGCCCCATGATTTCTGACCGACTGTATGCCGCCCAACGTTCATGACAACCGTGCACTGGGGTCACGGAAGCGCCGGCTTCACGACGGCTTCCGTGACGAAGCATATGAGTTCCTATGCTTTGCTTTGTGTTTTTGTTTTCTGAGGCGCGTGGTTGATGACGTATTTTATAGCCATCTTTCGGGCACAAAGCCGACGCCGCTTTTTCGCGTGATGGGACAAGTAAGGCTTTTGCTTTAATAGAACGAGAGCAAGCACGCCATTATTGCACTGTCGCACAATAGAAACAATATATCATTGCTTTCCTGGCGATTTTGGTAGCAGCATTAAAATAAAATACTTTTATATTAAAGGTATTGACTTGCAGAAGCAAGAGCTCATAGCCTTTGACTTCGGCCATTGCTCCTGCTGAGGAAGAGTTCGTGCAGCCTAAGTGCCCCCTTGAGTAAAGTGCTCGCATTTGTGTACCCTAGCAGTTGTATAGCATGATTGAAATGAGAAAGGGCTGAAAAGCCAATATTTAGACGAAGTCATACTTCTTCTAAAACAAAAAGAACCAGAATAGAGCAAATTGTGTGAACAGGGTTGAGCTCCCTTTTGAGTGGAAATAAATCGACGATATAAAACTATTAGTTATGGCGCATGTCATGCTCGAGGCGTTGAGAACGGGGACTGGAGCCGCGGCATGCTTGTGGGCCAGATCCCAGAGAGTCGGGGCCCACGTGTTTGAGAACCCATGGTATAGGCGAACGAAGGGGTATCTTGAAAGATTTTGTCAAGAAGTCTTGTACTTTACTTTGAAAGTACATTGTGTTTATAGTACTTTATGTCAAGTACATTGTACCCAGGTGCACTTATTACTTTACTTGAAGTACACAACTTCTTATATACTTTGTACTTTATTTCAAGTGCAGTTGAGATGTACTTTACTCAACACTGTTGCTCACACAGTACTCGTTTTAAATATATGAACTGCATTTGAATATCGTTATTGTAAGAACATCCCGCGACTATAGACAACGATACGATACCGGTTACTACATCATTATGTTTGGCGAGGGAGAAGTTGGAAGAAAAAGTCCACACGAATCGCCGAAGTTACACAACGGCAAAGACGCTTCTTGGTCAGTGGCGTTGCGAGCAGGTATACTAGGATAGCACAAGTGCCAGTATGTTTGTGTAAAAAGAAAAACGTTCCACCCTAATGTCTTTACTTTGTAGGTGAGCGCGTTGGTTTAATGTAAAGACTTTGGAAATAATAGAAAACCTAACAGAACACGAACAGCACATCCACAAAACTGTACTTTCTGAACTCTGTCCTTATATAGTTTTTTTTCCCTGTCATTCCACGATCCATTAAATATTACTATTACTTCTTGCTACTGTCGCTAATGTTGCAACCACTGCTAATATTCTTGCCTTTAATCTTGTTCTTTATTTTGATAAAAATACAATCACCTTTAGTACTTATATCAAGATGTAATATATTTCGAAATTCAAATAATTATTTCAGAAAAGCAAATGGCAGGACAGTTCGTAAATTTGAAGCAAAACGTCACCTCACCACCAGGCTGAAAGACGGACGGTATTGCGCGTGGCCATTGCCACCCATTGCCACCCTACCAGTCATTGTCGAGGTGGTTTTTCGCCTGAACGCAACACAACGCTGTAGGAATTGTGGCTGGGCAGTCAGGTTTCGGGTCTTACCAAAGTCTTTAGTATTTGACGTGATCATGTGGAGGTGGGTATAATATAACAGATGTTTTCGATTTCGTGAAACCATTGTCAACTATGCTTTGCGGTTGTTGCACGTCAAAAATTAGTTTGTGCTATGTACCGTCAGTAGATTGGATTTAAAAATATCTGATCATCTGAACATAGCTAACAAAAATGACTGACTACGTATTGCCCAGGGGATCCGATGAAATGATGCATAGTCTTGAAAATGTAAAAAAAAAAAAAGATGTTTCGCGTATTACCCGAAGGAAAAATCCATCAATGTAACTCTGTTTGGCAGTCAATGTTCTCTAGTGGACCGCTGACTGTGCCTGACTGTACGTCAAGCATGTCTGATTGGCCAACAAGTTACTCTGACCGACAGTCAAACTCCAGTCAGACTCCACTTGTCGGCTTTCTGATGGTTTCCTGGTGGCAGTCGGCCGCCGCGAAATGCCATCAAGATATCTTGATGGCGATTCTGATTGTACATCGATTGGCTCTGACTGTACGTTAAAAAGCTTTGACGTGCAGACAGACGTACGGTCAAAAGACGTAAAGTTCCTTCGGATACCACTATTTCGTCAAATCTATGAATACGAAAAATAATCTATGCACAAGAAAACGATTTCATGGCGTGAGCCCATTAAACCGCTGATGTTAGAGATATGACACGCAGCCGACCGACAACCTTGATCAGAAGCCCGCCGTACACGCCAGTTCGCTGACTTCGCTTCGCCCATAGAGGATTCGCCAAGCTTTCATGAACGATCGCTCTCTACTCGTTTTGTTTGCCCGCTTGCTCCAACCTGTCGATCCTGCCCAGGCTCTACAATGTCTTATGTTTTAGTAGAATTTCTACTCGACAAGACCCAGCCTGTTGTGAGTTCCGACGATGTAAGGGACTTTAGCGGTGTAGTTGAAGACGACAAGGTGTACCAGGTCTACTGGGCCGGAGACGCGCGAACAAAAGGATCGTTCTACGGCGCGAAAGTACTCTACATGGCAGGTGAGTAGAACTGAAGTACGGCAAGTGATGTACGAGCGCTTTGCATAACATGATGAAGGCTTAACTGCATTTGCAGCTGAAGCATCTCGTATAAAACGGATGGTCAAATCGAGTTTCCTAAGCGGTGGCATAGCATAGGGGTTAAGGAGTCCGAAGTGGTCGCGGGTTCGATCCGCGGCAATCCTGCTTTTTTTTTCTTTTTCTCTGACATTTTGTGTTATCGAGGCATTTGGCGATATCTATGAGTGCGTATAGCTTTGCTCTTATATAAATGCTGCCCTTGTTGATGAAATTCCCTTGGCAGTGGCAGTCAGACGTCATCTGATGGACCATCAGATGACGTCTGATGGTCCATCACGTTCCACCAAGGCTGCTGACTGGCAGTCAGTGTCCCAAATTACGTATCTTGATGGAATTTTCATTAGGGTAGTTTCGCACAGAATCAATAGAGATCCAATAAGTACCACTTGGGTTATGGTTAAACAAAGGGCAATGCTAAAATTTTAATACAAAATTGCGGCTTGCATATAGTACAGGAAAAGCAAAATAAAAATACATTTTTGAAAAATACATACAACAGACGACTGTCCTATAACGGATAACCGAAAAAAAAGCGCGAAGGCAGCGACAACATTTCCTTGTAACTTACCACATGACCGTTCTCGCAAACTCCCTCTGGCAACGAATGCTTGCTGCCACCAGTGCATGTGAACTGACACGAGGAATCAAGTTGAGGTTTAAAACCCTGCAATCCATTTAAATATAATTTCACAAATAAAAATAAAAAATAAAGCTATGTTCGTCTAGAAAAAAAAGAAAAAGATAAATTTGAAGACTGGTCCTCAAGCAGTGAGAAGGAAGCCTACCCTCCCTTTCCTTCTCGCCAAGTCTCCCACAACATAAAAGGAGGAAATCACGTCTCGTTTTCTCCTCGACATTTTACGACCTTTTGTGTTCTGACCTCCTGCTTGGTACTTTTTATGAAAGTTTGGGAGGGTTGGCAAAATACAATGAAAGTTTAAAAGTAAATCCAGACAAAAAACACTTTTAGCCTTTCCACTTTGGTGAAGAAGGAAGACCAGCGAAGCTCTACAATGGTGGGAATGAAGTAATGTCTGGTCACAAGTCGGCAAGCCGCAGTGGAAATTCTCGAAAGGTTGCGCCATCTATGAGCGACGGCGGCAAGCGGACCACCAGCAAACACAACACTCTGGACAGCTACCGCCATCTATGAGCGACGGCAGCAGCCAGAGTTTTTTCTCTTCATTTCCTTGCGGTGGACACGCTCCTGGGGAATTCTTTTCAATTCTTTTCACCGTACCTTTTATTTTTAAAACGCAAACATTAATCTCTCCGTCAGCAGGAACCTCACAAATAACGACACGATTAATTATAGCTTAGGCCAGGCCGATGGCGTGTCCAATTTACGAGAAACCCGTCAGTTTTTCGCGTCCGGGACTCAAGAGCGCGGCGTCCTGCGCAGAAAGGTAGCTCATCAAGGATAGCAGGTTGCGGGCAGACAGAGATTCCCCGAGGGAAACTAAAGGCCGAACCTAATAGAGCGTATTTGCGACGAATCTACGGGCCTTTCGGCGGATGTAATCCCGACGTATTGCGGGCGTCGTGACAAGCGCTTCCTCGACTCCTCGAGGTCGGCGTAAATACGCGCGTATTCGGTGACCCGACCGAGACAGATCTGAATAAGGGTGGCGATGTGGGTTAGTTGGTTCATACTGACGAAAAGGCAATCAGCGCACAGTAAACGGGGACTAAAGGAAGTGTCCTGTGTGCACTTCCTTTAGTCCCCGTTTACTGTGCGCTGTTTGCCTTTTCGTGAGACAGATCTCGGCGCTCCGCCTATTTCGGCGTGGCGAGTCCGGGAGCGTACGGCGCTGTGCCGGCCAATCAGCTCCCGAGTTGACAGCATAAAGTTGCTCGAGGATCGGCTTGCCTAGCTTTGCGGCCGGCTGGCTGGCTTGACTCAGCCGCTGAATTCGGCGCTCGCTTGCAGCGTCCGACTGTTTATTGGCGAACTGTATGAAATCGCTAGACGTCTCGGGAACGAGCCAAGGACGACTGAAACAGAAGAAAAAACTCTCTGTTGCGAGCGATGTCAAAATATTCTAAAGGGGAGGGTTTCGAGCAGCGATCGCGGCCGTCGTCCGGTCGGGACATGTTGGCAACCTAGCGATTGCAAGGAACATTTATGAAACAGGCGTTAGCAAATCGGGCTTTCACGATTAACTAACATTTAGTTTTTTCTGTCCCCTTTCGGAACGCAATAATATAGCAGCTGATCTACATTCTACCTCCTTTCATGAAAGGCGCAAGTCGGCCTACATGCAACAAACGCCGAGGAGACGTCGGCGATAAGCGCCATGTGTGGCTTGGTGACCTTCCACTCTTCCATTTTGTGAAAAAAGCGCCCGCTAAATACCGTTCTTACGCCCGCTGAAACGCGCGCGCATTCGTCTAGAATACGCCCTAAGTGGGTTGGCCATAAGTCTCGCAGCTTCACGTTTACTAATTTGCCCGTGCTCCAGGGTTAGGTCTTTTAAAGGAAAACTGAAGCGGTTCTGTACTAGAGTCAAAACGCTTAAATCGTCTTCATCTGTCTTCCAAGAACACAAATACCTACATTATTTGTTTTTATTTAATTTTTTTTTTTTAATTTGGTGCACTGAGGTTGCCGAAAATCGTTTTCAAAGTACCGTTGAAGCCCCTCTTTCTCTGAGCGTTATGTCATAAAAGGATTTTTTCAGAATGTCCGCTGTCGCGCATCTTCAGCGCCTATCAAAGCTGTGCACGCACACTCTCGTTATTTTTAAAATAGGTTAGAAAAAGACGACAGGACTGGTGTCAGTGCGGGGGCGGTGCGGGGGAATATACCTGCAAGCTTGCAACTGCACACGCTGCCCACACGAGCAACACGCGCTTGGTGGCCGAAATATCCATCAATGACGCAACGGCTGGTCGGAGGTTTTCTTGTGTTCTCGCGTTTAGTTATATCTTCGGGGAAAACGAACGTGATATTCAGATTGACGCGATAAAAATACTCAAGAATTTACCTCTAACTCATACTTTTCAAGTCCCTCTTCAAATTTCCTTCAATGTGTTAGTATTAGTGCCCTGGTAAATACGGAGGGCTGGGACAGATTTGGACTAGCCGAAGTTTGCAACGTGGCCAAGTGATGGCGCCACAGTCGCACTGGCTGTGTAAACTGGCTGCACTCTAAGAAATAGGGGGTGTATAGGGGTACACCCCTTGTCCTATATGGAACACCCCAAAACAACAATTCGACGTTCAGATCCATAGACGTCGAACCGACGATACCAACGTTCAAGAGCGTCTTGATATTCGACCGACACAACTTATTAAAATGGCTAATGCACTCATTAAAGGCTACAGTAAGACAATCGAGGTTTTTTTGGCCCTGCTGCAAAACCTCAGTGTTTTTTTTTTTGTTTTTTTTTCTTCTAGTCTTCGATACGCACATTAGTTTTTTAGTACGTTACATCTAACAGCTATCAAGACGCTCGTAAAAGTTGGCATCGCCAGCTCGACGTCAATGGACTAAACGTCCAAATCTAGTTTTGGGGTGTTACATATGCAACAAGGAGTGTATACCACCTATACACCTCATATTTCTAAGAGTGTAGGAAACACCTTCTGTAAGCGCCAACATATGACGGGCGGGGCTCGGGTGCGCTCTTTGGACGCCCTCGGAAGCTCCTGCCGCCGGCTTTGAAGACGTGTGGACATAAACGGGCTGCGTTTCGGTTCCTCGTAATCCGTCGTTGAAGTTGGTCTACGGACGTTCTCAATCCTCTCAAAACAGTTGACTTTCACAATGGGCCAGCCGCGCCTCGTGCCACAGTGTCGATAACCAACGGAAAAGTCTGGGAGTGTCGTTCTATCGTTCTACAGCTGACGTGACAAATGACGAACTGCCATAGCGATTGCACGGCTTCCTCGTTTCTTACGTAGTGTCCATCGTGAAAAAGAGAAAAAAAGATGTGTATTTTGGTTTAATCTTTCTCAAGCAGCCGCCTAGCGCAGCAAGGATAGCTGTGAAGAAGCAGGAAACTCGCTGATATCAAAGAACTAAAAAAAAACACCTCGGCTATTTTTTTGCTGGTGCAATAATATTCAGTGAGTATATTTTCAATGTACTCAGCTCCACACGTTCATTCACAGCTGAAAATGAATATTGCAGCTTCTATCACTGTAAGAAAAGCATGAAAAAAAAAAAGGTGCTGTTGCCATTTTGGCGCTATTATGACTGGAAATTAACGCGACTGATTAATCGAATAATTTATATATTAATGGGTGCCTATTTATTGGGTTAAACTTCTTAATCGATGCCCAGCCCTAATAATCGACGACTGGTCACCCCGATCCCAGATATAATCCGCGTTGAGTCCTTCTCAGTAATCGCTGAAAATGACTGTTCTGATGGTATGCTGCGCTGCGTAGTTACGCGGAAAAAAACACTGGAGAAATGAAGTTAAAGCAGAAGGACAGACAAAACATGCATGAATTGGCGCAGACTAACAACTGTTTAATTTCTTTCTCTTCTTTCTCCCCCCGACCCGTATTTCCAAAATTGCGGCTAAGAAAACGAATGGTTGATATCTTGAATTTGTTGGCTTCTGAACTTGATGGTGTTTGACGTAGCTGCCTTTTTGATATACGAACTGGATGGTGTGTTTTCGTAGCGTTTACCTGGGGCCTGATGTTTGCTCCGACATGTTGTTTGGTATCTTATTGAGTAGATCTATTTCTTCTTGTCGCAAAGCTAGTGATGGCTCACTGACGCACGCTCCGTGTCTACCCGAGGCCATGTGAAAAGCCTCGATTATTTCACGCTTTGTTCTGTCCTTTGATCTGGCCAAGATGGAAGTATAGTGTCAAGGAGAGCTTTGCAGTTGCATTTTGATCAATGCGCTGCAAGGTTGCCAGGTGCTTGCCGTTGTCCGCATGCATGGTTGTGCTCCCTTAGTCTCTCGTTAAGGCATCTCCCAGTCTGCCCGACGTAGGATCTTCCACACGACAGTGGTATTTTGTATACCACACCTTCGACACATTCAACAAATTTGCTCCTGTGTTTTACTTGACACAGCGCCTTGCCGTTAGTCTCGTCCACTTCATTGTTGACCTTCCTGCATTATTATGCATTATTATGACTGTTCTGGTTGGGATAGGGTACAAACCAGTCGCGTCCATTAATTTTCCTTGGTGTTTACTAAAATACTAAAAGCAAAACTCCTCAAAACGTGCCCCAATACGAGGTCGCTGTCAGGGCGTTCGGTCGCCAAGGAGGCCACTGAGGGCGACCGCCCCACGTAGAGAATCGACGAGCCGCTGGCCGAGTGGTGTTTACCGAGCGGCGTTTTGAGGCGAACGCAATCCTGTCCGCTGAAGGCGAAATATGTCCAACTATAAATAAAAAATAAAAAATAAACAAGCTGACAGCACTGCGCGCTTTCCAGAAAGAGGGACCCACGCGGGAGCGACTCGTTCCGGGAACCAGTTCTTCCACGGGAGACGGTCCCCAAAAACAAGTGACACTGCCCCTCTCTTCGCCCGGCGATGGGGAGAGGGTGCAGGGCTGCCAGGCCAGCGGTCGGCGGGAGAGGGTGGTGTTTGCAAGCGGGGGAGGCCAGCCGCCAGTATAGCCATTTTCTCTCTGCTCGTGGGCCGATCCGGTTAGCCCACGACAGCGGATTTTTGGAGCGGACCAATTTCCTCCAGCAAGGTGAGCATGCATGGCTTTCAGGGCTCGCCCCTTGGTCTCTTTTGATTCTTCCTTGGTTCCGCAGGTGCACCATAGTTCGGCGCTGGCCGCCTTCAGCACCGTTCGAGCGCCACCGTGTTCAGCGCATTCAAGGAGATGGTGGCCGGTGTCGGCTACTCGCTGCAAAGCCTGGCAGTCGGGGTCAGCGTCCCTCCGCATGTTGTGCCTGCGCACCGGGATTATGGCGCTATGGGCCCTGAGACGGTGGATGACGGTCGCTGTCCGGACTTGGTTTTTGCGCCTCTTCGTCCGTCCGACTTCAAAAGCATAGAGCGAGCGAAAAATACGCCGAAGACGCCGGCGTATTGTCATCATGGACGAAACCGTGACTGTGCTCGGGATTTCTCAACGGCGGCGGGTGCTGCTTGCGACTTCGTGGTTTTCGCTAAACGCGCTTACTAAGACTGTGTATGTGTACGTGAGGTGCACCTGCTCGGTTTTATTAGCTGAACTACCGCACATCAGGAATATACCCAGCGGAATTGTGAGTACTTCGAAATATATTTTTCTTTGTGATAAAGAAGTCAGTTGTCCCTGTTTGATGTGATCTCTTTCGTCTACAGCTCCTTGCGCCGGGTTTGAACAAACGTTGCTTTTTGTCACCTTTTTGAGTTATCATGTAAAACTAAATGTCTGGAATAAATTTTCAATAATATTTTGAACTGTATTTTGTCTATGGTTCACAGTCATTTGCGCGTCTAAAGGGGTGATGGGCTAAAGGGTCTGACGGGTTGAAGGGCTGTGGGGCTAAAGGGTTTTTCTATGGGGCATCCCTGAAGGGTTTTTCTGTAGGGTATTTTTGAAGGGTCTTGAAGGCCTGTGAGGTCCCATAATCCTTCAAGGCTGACGGGCCCTTTAGAAATATTTTCAATAGGGCATGAGCTGTGTTATTTCATATCTTTAGCAAATAAATCTTTTTAGGATAACACTGCATCGTGTGGTATCCTTACAATCATAGCCTCCTATGGGGGGTATTCACTGGACACCATTTTTGATGGCGCTGTTTAGAGCGCATGATCAGAACGAGCTCACATTAATAGGGTGCCAAGACAGGCAATCTTGATGGTACGGAATGCACGTTGCAAAAGAACTGTGGAAGCTCGCCATCAGCACGCGCTCAGCAATCGCGCACACGGCTATGGCCACTGGCGGCCATAGCAATGTGCGCGAATGCTGAGCGCATGCTAACGGCGAGCTTCCGCAGTTCTCTTTTCAACGTGCAATCCGCACCATCAAGATTGCCTGTTTTAGCACCCTATTAATGTGAGCTCGTTCTGAGCATGCGCTCTAAACAGCACCTACAAATATGGCGTCCAGTGAAAACTCCCTATAAAACGGGCGTTGACGAGCTTCCACAAAGGCCAAAGCTAGGTTGAAGGACCCACTAGAATCAAGCGTGCAATAGCCTAGCCTGCAATGGTAATGATGATGTGAAGTAATCGCAATAAGAGGAAACTAAAATTGAAGGTCGCTCATGGAGGCGCTCATAAGTAGCTGCTGCAAAGTGTCTATATACTGACAAAGTCTGGCAGATTGCCACGACAAGCTTTCGCCTAATGTATGTATATGTATGAATGTATATTGAATGTATATGTTGTATCCCACACCTACTTGGGCCTTCGATGGCTTGTAGTATCCTCTAAATAAAAAATAAATAAATAAACGGAAAAAAGGGAGCGGCAGACAATTACGGATGAGAGGAGAGCCACGTGACTGGCACCCCGCTGCGGCGAGACGCCGAAACACACTTCTCCCGAGCGGACCAGTGTCTTTCGGGTATTCTCCGCTGCAAAAGCTGTGCGCTGATGTCCAGATTCCCCGAGAAATGGCTCCTTGATGCTCTTTGCTACCAGATCCTCGCGCTCCAAATCTGCTACCTGGCACTCTATGGCTCCGTCGTCGAACTCCCAGGCTTTGTGAGTATAGAGTAGCCTAAGGTACAATATATGCGGAGAGCAAGTCGTCTGCTTCTTGCGCAGGAGTTGCGGTGACGTTAGAGCGACGCCAAGCTCTGATTGGCTTTGATTGAAAGAAAAGTGGTAGACCTTGTGGTAGACCTTGAGGTTTGCCCACTATTTTTTTTTTCAATCAGCTAATAAGAGCTCGACGTTTTGACATCATCGGAACCCCTGTGCAAGAAGCAGACGAATTTGCGCTCGGCATTGTACGAATGCTGACACTCGCTCAATTTTATGTACGAGATGTCGTGTGGGTCGTTAATCGCGTCATTTTCTGGCGATAAATACGCGTGCCTTTCTGCAATCTTTTCTCGCAAAATATTATCGACAGCTAAGCGCTTTGTTGATTGGCATGGCTGAGCGTGCGGTGGCGTTAAAACTCATCGTAAAATAGAGCAAACATTCCAGTAGCATTCGCTCTGTCGAGCATTTACCCCCAAGAATAGTTTACAGTTTTTTTTTTTTTTTTTAATGTGGTACTGTGCTTCTTGAATATCACCGGACATCATAGTACATACACAATAAAACGCAAAGAATAGCGGGAAAGAGCGAGAATTCAACTGCCGGAAATATCTGATACTGCGCCTACGCAGGCTGCTCCTATCGAAATCAACAGTCAATGGGTTAGATTTAGCAGGAACGCCAGTGAGACGCTAACTTCAAACCCAGTGAACGGGCTGAAAAATGGTTCGCACTTTTCTGCGGCTGGGTGTTCTTTGGAGAGTTGTATACACCAGCACGCGGCCCTGACGTCACGCAGCTGAGGTGGCGCTGCTGTCGACGCAGCGCACGAGCAGACGTATAACTTGACGCGGGTCTGGTTCCTGTGCGCACACAGTGCCCACACCACACGTGGACTTGTTTGTCAGCGGTGTGCCGGTGAGACCTCTTTACAAACAAGTTAGCTTTTGCCCAAACCAGGTGTGGGTACTGAGCGTGCGCAAAAAGCCAGACCCGCGTCAGTGTCTGCGGATGTGCCGCGACGACAGCAGCGCCACTTCAGCTGCGTGACGTCATAGCCACCTGCTGGCGTATAGGAAAGCGCTATTAGACTAGTGCGTGAGTTGATCAGTGACGTTGGCAGTCGTCAAGCGCACGTTAAAGCCTTGTGAGATTGTGTGAGGAGTTAAACAACCATGGTATATGTGATAATATACTAATAACGGAACAAACGTCACCTTAGCGCAAAGAAACGAATGAGTACCAGAAACCTCAGGTACTCGTTCGTGCTAAGAATTCTAACACAGTTTTACGAAAAAAAAAAGTTTCCAGATAAAATTCTTTAAAATTTTCAAGTCCAGGACTTTTAACCTCATCAATACACCATTTGCAATATTACCCAAGCATCAAGGAGAATGCAGGAATTAATATTCCACACGCCACACGCGCACGCCTTCCCCGTATAAAAGATTCGAAGTAAATAACCAGAATAAAGCGTTGACGAACGCGCGTGCAAGATGCCATTTGTTTTAGGTTTTTGCTTTAGGAAATTTACTACTGCTGAGGCCAGCACGTGCGGCGCATGGAACACCAATCCCTGCATTCTCCTTGACGCTTGGGTAATATAGCAACAGGTCTATACCCATCGCTTTCGAGCCTGTCAAAATATTCGCTTCACCGGATACCAGTAGAAATAACGATGTATTAAAAAGTGCCGTGTAGTTTCCCCTTTTGTGCCCCTACGTTTAAGCGATGTGTCACTAAGTTGGTGACTGTGTGTTTTCTAATATATTACGGGATTTTATGCCAAACCAAAATTCTAGTAAGAATGATCTTAATTAATTTGTCTTCGCATTATATAAAAAAATTAAAAGTCACTTTCGATTACTTAAAGATATATGCTGTGCATTTTATTGTTCGTAATACTTACCCTATATCCCTTAAATTCGCACTCCAAATATACGGCCCCAAAATAGATCCGGTGGCAAAGATCAGGAAAAGTACCCCCACGATGACGCTCGCCCTCTGAAAAAAAAAAAGTAAAAGCCGTTTACAACTCCCTGTAACGCCGAATTAGAGCGCAGCTCTTGAGGAGGAGGAGGGAAGGGTACTGGGGGGGGGGGGTCAACTGACCGGAGGGGGGGGGGGGTCACGGGACGATGACGATGCCGATGATGTCATCAGTGACGTCACTAATGACGTCATCAGTGACGATGACGATGCAGATACCGATGACGTCATTAGTGACGTCACTGATGACGTCACCAGTGATGATGATGATGACGATCCGGATGTCGGTGACGTCATCAGAGACGTCATCAGTGATTATGACGATGACGATGCGGATGCCGGTGACGACATCAGTGACGTCACTGATGACGCCATCAGTAACGATGACAATGCGGATGCCGGTGACGTCATCAGTGACGATGACGTCATCAGTGGTGATGACGATGACGATGCGGATGCCGGTGACGTCATCAGTGACGATGACGTCATCGGGGGGTCACGTGAACTCGGTGGGGGGTCACGTGACCTCAGGGGTGTCACGTGACTTCGGGGGGTCACGTGATCTTGGGGAGGGGGGTCCGTGACCTTGGGAGGGGTCACATGACCTGGAGGGTCACGTGACCTTGGGGTGACCTTGGGGGTCACGTGACCTTGGGGTGACCTTGGGGGTCACGTGACCTTGGGGTGACCTTGGGGGTCACGTGACCTTGGGGTGACCTTGGGGGTCACGTGACCTTGGGGTGACCTTGGTTACGCCGACGGCGACGCCGCTTAAGCCGCAAACGGGCGCCTAAGAGCTGCGCTCTAAAATGTTATGAAGGTATACAGCCAGGCAAGAAGATTATATATAGTGAGTGTTATTCTTTCGAAAACGAGGAAACGCAAGGGCACTGCGCGTATGCGTTAACATTGCGTAAATTGTTGGTACCTTTTTTTCAAAGATTGTAGGCACAATGTTGCCTAATTGAATTTGATTTAAGTTGTATTTTTGTCGAACCTTTTTATTAGTGAAAATCATTTTAGGTAATCCTACAAAACATTTTAATGGCAAATTTTGAAATTGGGCCATCTGCACAAAACGAGTCCGATAATATCGATAAACATCAATATCCCTGTTAGTTTTAGCACTACGAATTATGTGCAGTTTTAGCAACTGATTGTTTAACCCACTGTACAGCTTCCAAAACCGCCCTACCCCGGGGGTCACGAGCACTTCATTTACAATATCTAATTTCTTGAATTCATGTAAAAGACGAAAGATTAGCAGTTCAACACTGTAGCCTGTGTGAGACTCTTAGATGGTATGCGATGTATACTGACTTCCTCTGTGGTCATATGCATATAACACTCTTTATTACAACCTCGTCAGACACCTGACGTTTTAAGGCATTGCTAGCAATATCAAACGACATTCAGAGAGCAGCGGTGGCGTTCAATGACAGGTGTTTCTGAAGTAAGTAAACCTGGCAAAAATAATTCAAGAAATTAGAAAGAAAATATTATATTTGTTAAATGTCTATATTACTAATACGACTTACCAACTTGAAATGCCGGTAGAATAAGCACCACGGCGAAAAGTACGAGCAGCATGTTTCTCATATTGCAATATATAATCACAGACCAACGGTAGCGTCCACCTAAAAGAGAAATAACAACATAAATATAGCCTCTATTCTCGACAACGCATTGTTAATATATATTTTTTTTAATGTAGAGGCAATGCGTTTAGATGAGAACTCCTGCAAAACATTAATGGTAATCGATTTGTATAAAACATTCAGCGTGTACTTAATATTTGCCTCTGCATAAATCTACGAAATATATTATCAAAATATTTATTTATTTTATTTTGATAACACAAATTTTAAAGTTTACGCGTCCTCGTAAATTTCAAACTGCCGCTCTTCTGGCCACACTGAGCTTCGGCGGCATTGATCTTGACGTCAAATGTTGTATCCAAGAGCGGATCCTTTGCCCTCGTTGTACGTTGTAGCAATTAGAGGTGTTCGACAAGACAGTGGCGCCACGGTGCAGCTCCTCGCAGAAGCATTTCGTATTAAACGCGACCTGACTGGCATAGACATTCTGTTTAGCAGCCTACCTTAGTTTCTGAGTTGACTTAACTTAGCACAGCGATACGTCCAAGGCCAGACTCGGCGCTAAACTTTACTACGCGAGTCCTCGAACTTGAGCACACAGATCCAGGAGCGGCACTATAGGAATAGCGGAACCGGGGGCGGTAACCTCGCCACGACACCTCCCCCCCCCCCCCCCCCCCGCTCTCGTAGCCCGCCGCGACATCCCCACGTGCGCTGCACCCGGGGGGGTCCACCCCCTCCGCCGCTCCCTCCCCCCCCCCCCCCCTTTGGGACGCCACTATACAGATCCCCTCCATGCGCCGGAAGAAACCGTCTCGATCATCTCAATTCCAACATGTCTACTCAATTTGCGGGCAAGCGAAAAGCAATCTAATATTAAGAGGAGCGAAAAATACTTCTCACGTAAATTTTATCAATTACTGGCTCTGATGAACGTCGCCTCATAGTGATTTGCAGACCCCCGCGAAGACGAACGCTTTGCAGAGGCATTCCAGAGTAGATAAAATCAAAACGTGGCGTCGGGTCGCCGTCGCTACCGTTTACGACTGCGGACACCAGATTAATCCCGAGCTCCGAGCAACGGTTGCGGGCCGAATGAAGTGAAAACACACACAGACAATGTTAGACGCGGGTTGGTTTTCGAATTTCAGGGTGTCACACCTTCACTCCGGACCGAGATTAAGAAACACGGCCGCAGGAAGGCCCAGACGCGGCGAAGATGCTGCGGGAAGAGGTCCGAGCGCGTAGAGCCTTAAACGCGGACGCTGACGCTGATGGCGCTGCCAACCACTGGCTTCCAGAGCCTCTGCTGGCTTCCCGTTTGGCTTCCCGCGCCCTGTGTAGGTGTGGAACGCTCTCGATAATGAGCTCCTGTTAGCTTTGCGTGCTGTGTCTGGTATGGGATGGACAAAAAAGGAGGGGAGCGGATATACACTCTGGTAGGGGGTGCCACAACACCGCAAGGAAATGCACCAAGTGAGACATCACCGGTTTCCGACCGACAAGTGAATGAGATGGAAGCGGGCATGGCCAGTGCGACGCGAAAGCAAGCTCTCAGCGTGTCCGTCGTGCTAGCAAGCAGTTCGCACTGGGTTAGCGAACAAAACCATAGCCTCCTCTACACTCACAACGCCTGGCAGTTCGACAACGGAGTCATAGATTGCCCTGTCGCAGATTTGGAGCTCGAGGATCTGCACAGTACAGAGCATCAAAGAGACATTTCTCTGGGAACCTAGACGTCAGCGCACAGCTTTTGCAGCGGCCAGGACCCGAAGAACACTTGTTCGCTCGGGAGAAGTGTGTTTCGGTATTTCGCCTCAGCGGGGCGCCAGCCACGTGGCTCCTCCCCTCATCCGTTGTCTGCCACTCCACCTTTTCTATTTCGGCGGCCGCTTCTCGTGGCGATCTGCCAGGCTTTCTGAGCATATAGTAGGCGATGACAAAACCTTCCCTCTCCCGCTCCTCTTCATCGCACGCGCCGCCTTTTCGTAGTGTGTGTGTTTGTGAGGAGGGAGGGGGTATGCCCAGATGCTCCGAGACCCCACCGTCGGCGGGCGGAGCAGGCGCACCCAGCGGGAAGAGGGGAAAGCCAATCAAGCAGTCGTAGCCGCCTGACGGGTGTCCGACTCACTACACGCACCCCAGCCGATGGAAGCATAATCCATCAGAGCTTCACCTCGCCCCGGTTGTAGAGGTGAATTTAGCTGACAGTCTGCGTGGCTGATTGTGCGGCTTCAAAACTGGAATGCTTCAGATCGCGTTTGACTTCGCTCCTTTCGGACAGGGGAATTTAGTTGCCATCGGCTCGCTCCATGAGACAGTTAATGCCTTCACAATAACAACAAACTTTTAGAGCCCACAGGAAGCTCCCTAAAGAGCGCAAGCACCTTGTGACCATAGTGGCCAGCCACGTGACTCTAGTATCCACTTCACCCCGTGTTCCCGCGTGCGCCAACTACAAATTCATTTCGCGCCGTGAATATAGCTCTAAAATATTTATTTTTGTTTCGTTATAAAGTTGCTTACTAAATCATTTTTTTCATTTAAGTTTTTTTTTTTTTGTTGTTTCTAAACGGGTTGGATGCAATATATGAAGGCAATGACGGCAAATCAAATGCGAACGGCGAATTGTTTAAAATCTCATGTTGAACTTGAAACATTGGCCGGTCATTGCTTGACCCAGAAAGGGTTCATGAGGCTTAGTCCATAGTTTTCCACGGACGATCGCGAGGGCTTTTGACGCTGGGTGAGGCAGGCTCCAGCTTTCCTTACGTGCTGATGTTTACACGATATCGTTTGTCAAGGGAAGATGGCGGACTAGTAAGGTTGGTACTGTGATATTGTGATACGAAGTCCGGTTCGAAACAAGAAACACGGCATAAAAAGACCTAAATATTTTTGTTGAAATTTCACGAAAGATATTTTTTGAGAATGTCAACAGGAATTTTGAGTAGATATTTTTTTGAGCCAAAACGAAACCAAAAAAGATATTAAGACGGACTCGCAAAATAAACACAAAACAAAATCTCGCTTGCAACGTGTATTTTTTGATGCTTTGAAATACTACTCTCGCAATTTTTTTTTTCTTTTCAAGCGTCACTTTAGAACGTAGGTTCAACACAGCAAAACCAGACCTGTACATCTTATTCCCAAAAGGTAACTAAATGATGTTACTGTTCACTCGCACAAAGAGTAACAAAATACGATACTTCTTACGGATTCTCAAAAGCAATGCGTCACTTTACCTCAAGAGTATCGAGTCAGTTTTCTCGTTACTTTAACGACAAAATACACAACAGCTTTTGTTTCGCAGTTTATCGTTTTATATTCAGTACTCGTTGCACTTAAGTAGCTGCCTCTCGGAGTTTTTATCAACCATGTTTCCCCGCTTCTTTGACAATAGATCTCCGGCTATGCTGAAGAGTCGTTTTAATGACGCGCTCGAAGAACGGTAGTGTTGTGATTCAAGAAGGGCTGGCGAAACTGGGATACTCCTTTCACTTCTGTTCTCTGTGCTTGTAAAGTTCGAAGTTGACTTTGGGTTATGTGCCTTCCCTCGTTGGAAATCTCCGGGTTCATATTCGGTCTGTGCACGTTTCTAGAAGTTTCAACCAACGAACCTTATTGTGTTCGTTGGATGATGGATATTCCCAGCTGTAGAGTTCAGCAATAAACGTTGCTATACCCTCATACCGTTTAGTTGTTTTTGGGTTTGCCCACCTGCATTCGTCGCAACAGATGCCTACTAAGCTTGGAATTAAAACGAGGGTGTTGATACGTTGTTGTACATGTTACTCTTCAAAAAGTAACGAAATACCGTTACTCGTTACTTGGCCTTAAAAGTAACTAAATACGTTAGTCGTTACTTTTTTAAGAAAGGTAACTTAATAGGTTACTTGTTACTGAAAAAAGTAACTAGGCAGGAGTAACTCGGTACTAGTAACGCGCTAGGTGCATGTCTGGACAAGCCACCCGAAAAAGCAAGTAAATAAAAAACAACAAAAAAACAAAGAGTGTAATTTCTCAAGTTTGGGTCGATTTTTTACCTGCAGTATCGTTTTTTTTTTTTTTTTTTTTATCACGATCAAATATACACAAGCTCGTTAGCGTACTTCCACTCAGTTCATTAATATAGGTTGACTTTTTGTTTCCTCACCTATCTGAGCGAACCCTCTAAAAAGATATGGATCGTGAGTACGCGATCGTGATTGCTAATTTAGAGATATAATTAGTTTTTTTTAATCGCTGGAAAACTCAAAATATCCCTCAAAACGGCAGAAATGCTATGACAACGTAGCTCAACAAACCAACCTACAGCAATCCGTTATTCAAACCAAGGGTGTTATGAATACAGTTTCACGGCACGGTAGTGCGACAAAAAGTAATACAAAAGTGTAGCAATTTCGAGGAGAACTTACGTAAGGCTTTCTTGCTTCAAGAATCTTGAAGTGGCGATTGCTAGTCTGAGATGTGGACAGTTTGCTGCCTTATTTATATCCCTGGTTGTAGGCGTGTTCCTCACAATGTGCGATTCCATGAAAATTTTCCCGCCAATGGTAGCTTTGGAAGCAGATGGGAGGAGTCAAAGACTGCACCTGTAAACCTGGCCATTACACTTGAGTCCAAGAGGATTGTCTCGACCTTGAAAAAAAAATATATAAAAAAATGTTCGTCCAAAAAAAAACATTTTTACTGCAGTTTGCACCTGCCTAAAGTTCTTAAACCGTGGTTAGTTCTTCGAATATTTTTCAGAACAAGAGTATGATACACCTCTGAAACATGATATTCTACGCTGCAGGGATTTGCCTTATAAAACCGCTGAATATCGCCACTAAGGTCCAGGGTGGTCTTCAAGATAAAGCAGAGCAGTGTGGTCTGTTACAGTTCGAGTCCCACCACAGCTGACCTTACGATATGGTCGTAAGGTCGGCTGCGGTCGCCGAAAGTGCATCGTCACGGCGCACATCGTTCTTAAGCATTTATTACAACCGACAAAGCCAATCACGCATAATGAATGCGCCGCAATTCATTCGTTTTCTTTTGTACGTGATTGCTTTAGCCGCTCATAGCAAACCGACGACAATAACGAGGGCAGTGATCGTGCAATTTTGGCGTTGCTTGGTTGGCTCCAACGTTACTAGAACCACTCAGTTGGAAAACTGCCATAGAGCCTGCTCTTTAAGAAGTGGCACCGATCCGTACTCGAGAACATAGCTAATGGCGATCGCAACGCGTCCATTTTTCCCGCAGCGGCCAGCCACTCGGGGAACTGCACGGCTGCTTGTACTGGTTCGGGAGTAAAGAAAAATACTGGCCCACAGAAACTAGAGTTCCTGTATAGGCTCCCTATGGTAGCCAGAGTTGCGCGTCTGTCATCTACGTGCCGCCGCGCCGCTATTCGCTGAGATCCGATCGCGTGAGGACACGGATCAAGTGTTGTGCAAGAAAGTAGACGTTGCACGCGCCCCGGCGTACGTTCTCCTGCTTTTGAGCGCGCCGCGCGCCTCGAACGCGCGGCGCCGCTATTCGTCGAATTCGGTCACGTGAGGAGCAAACTCCGGCTGCCTTGCAGGAAAGCCGGCGCTACGGGGACGAACGCGCAACTCTGGCTCCCGAACGGAGCCTGTACAGGAACTCTAATCGGGAGTATCGCATTCGATAGCGTCCGCTGTGACTGTTCCATTCTGGCTTTAATCGGCCATTTTGGCGCCGAAACATATACGGTGGAATGGGTTTTAGGGATGCCAACCCCCGTCTCCCAAGCGGACACGTCGATAATTACTTCCGAAATTAGTACGCGCCCAGGTCAGGACGCGCAACCTCAAATCCCCGGTGAGACATGGTTGTATAAAAACAATATTAATTGTGAAACAAATCCATGTAAAATAAAGATTTGAGAAGACATCACGCGCCTGTTATTTTGTACTAATCTCTAATAAATGTTCGTATAAAGAAAGTTTTTTTCCTTTTGTTTTTACGCAAACACATGCTTTCTGAAAGCTCAAAGTCGCCGTGTCTGCTGCGGTAATCCCGCTCGACCTTCGAGAGGAGATCTTTCAAGCCTGCCACAACGACCCGACGTCCGGACACCTTGGTTACAGCCGGACGCTGGCCCTTATTCGTGAAAAAACATTACCGGCCCCAGCTCCCCGAAACCGTACATGATCAAGCCACGATCCTGCCACGAGTGCCAGTGATGAAAGAACCCTCCGACGAGGCCGGCCGGCAATTCCTCAGACAACTGCACCCTTCGAGCAGATCGGAAGAAATCTACTTGGCCCCTTTCCACCTTCATCGTCGAGAAACCGCTGGATAATCGTCGCCGCAAATTACCTCACTCGGTACACCGAAACGAAAGCCCTTCCTTCAGGGACTGCTGTAGAAGTCGTCAAGTTTTTCATCGAGTCCATCGTCCTACAGCACGGCGCTCCCGAAGTTCTGATCTCAGACCGTGGATCATCGTTCATCTGACGCCAGAAATCCTTCATCTGAGCCACACCAGCCATCGTCGCACCACGGCGTCCCACCCTTAAAGCCCGTTCACACAAATGCGTCCGTAGCGACCGCAACGACTGAAACAACCGAAACGACCATTGCAAGGGTCTGCAACCCTCAGTTGCCATAGCGACGGAGGGACGCACACACGTGTCGTTCACGTCGCAAGGAGTTGGAGCGAGCCCAACTTTTTCCGCTGCGTTGGAAACGACTGAAACAACCGCAACGACAGACCAATCACAGGTCGAGGAAAACTGGTCGTGCGCGTTGCATGCCGGTGGTGCCGGGCTCCTCCTATCTGCACACATGGCGTCAGTGGTGATCGTCGACGTGGACGGCGTGGTGAAAGCTCACCGTTCCGCGTAAAAACGCTATCCTTGACCGTGAATTTTCGTCGTGTGTCGCTATGATAACCCAGCACATACTAGAAGGGAAGATCCACCTACTCGTGCGGCGACGTCGTGGCGGCACTCTCGAGACAGCAGAAACGCCCGTGCCGTCGTATTTGTTTACTTCGACTAAAGTGGTGCTTTCTAAGCATTTGTGTCCTCGAACATCGCCCGGATTTCTTATTTGGCGAATTTCCTGCGTTTGCTCAAGTTCAAGGTATTACTGGCGCGTATCGTATAACATATATTTACGTTGCTATATCGCTGCTAAGATTACATCGTCTATTATGATCGTAGAAAAGGCGTGTGGCGAGATTTGTACTATTGGCAAAGCCGTGTATTAGAGTCTTGATAGTCCAAGATGGCGTACTCCATCGTTTTCTTTTCTTTTTTTCATACACTCTACCTTGCAAGCCTATCATGAAAATAAATAAATAAATAATAATAAAGCTTTAGGTCCTAGAAAACTGTCTGTCTATATTCTGTTGCGGCATTGAGTGGCAGTGCGTCCCCTTTTTAGAGCACCACTGAAGCAGCTGACGGCGGCGTAGAAGCAGTCGCCGTGCTGACGACCCGCTCCGCTTGTTGCAGTGGTTGCAGGTGTGTGTACGCGCGGCGAAGAGCGGTCGTTCCGGTCGCTCCGGTTGCAACGGACGCAGTCGCATGCAACCGACGTGTGTGAACGAGCCTCAAAACCAACGGGCTGACGGAGAGACTCAACAAGACCATCGCCGACATGATTTTCATGTACGTCGACATGGAGCACAATACATGGGACGAGGTGTTGCCGCACGTCACATTTGCCTACAACACGGCCGTGCAAGAGACCGCCGGGGCGACACCCTTTCAACTAGTTCATGGTCGCAAAGTAACCACAATATGCTGGATGCGATGTTACGTCACGAACCGGCTGTCGACGGAAGCGACGATGCCCAGGTGGTTGCCAAACGGGCAGAAAAAGTCCGTCAGCTCGCCAAACCCCGGATTAATATTTTCGTCATTCCTGTTCAGCTCGCTTGCACCTTTGCATTTAATTGCATAATAAACATAACTAAAATAAATCTTTTGCCGATTTATATTTTCTAAAAAAATAAAAACAACTCAGCTCAAAGCAAAAAACAAGTCCCTAATGTCTCTAAAGAAAAACGGTAGAGCACCCCAGAGTGAGTGCGTCGATAAGTATCCTTGTCTGTCCTTTTCATCACCTCTTTCTTTAAGTGCCAGTCTTCAGCAGAGCTACTGCCTTCGCAAAAATAAAGATAATTTTACGTTTCCAGTTTTGCTTGCTTTTTGCGAGTGAGTTGGCAGCCGAAAGAATTCGTGGAATGTCCGCAGATGTGTTGCTTTAGGAAACAAGGACACAGGGCAGGTTGACACAGATGACCTAAAACATCAAAATTGAGAAGGCATTATAAACGTCGGCTGCTAATTGCCTCAATCGATTGTATGATGCCTGCTCAATTGAGGAGGCATCATAAACGTCGGTTGCTACTTGAAAGAACTGCCCTGTCTGTGTGTGTCCGCCCCTATATGTTGTATGCTTTCGTGTTTCAAGTTGTTGCTTTAGGTTTCGCTTTTTTTTTTCTTTTTCCGTCGAAATAATGGTGTTCATCGATTTTTACAAAAAATTTTCAACATGCATAAAATATTCACCCCTTAATTAATGGGTCTACCAAACATCTCATCAAAATGATAATTTTCTTATAAGAAAACGAGTTTTGAAGTTTACACGAACAATACCGAATCACTGGCCGTCGCTTTACTGGCAACAAGGAGCAGGGGCGCTCGTGACGTCAAATGTTGCATCCAAGAGCAGACGACGCTGCCTCTTCCACGGCGTTGTGTGTTGTAGTCATACAGTGAGCGTCTGAGGATCAAATGCGAATGATGAACTGTCTGAAATCTCCCGCTTAAAATCTTGTATTTGATGGTGATTGCCCAGATAAACCTGAGGAATCATATTCAATTATTTCTCACGGACGATTCCGACAGCTTTCAGAATGTTTCAGATGCTGAGTGAAACAGGCTCAAGCTGCTCATGTGCTGATGTTCATACAGCATCTGAAGTCGCAACAAGATGGCGGACCAGTAAAGTTGCAGGTTAGTTTAGGTTTCGGTTTTATCATACTTATACAATTAAAATTGGTCGAAAAAGTTTTGGAAAACTTGCTGTAGTAGACTCAATTTCTAGCGCTCTTTAAAAAGAATGGTTAGTTGAAAACATTTAAATTGGTTCCGGAACTACCATTTAAGTGAAGAGAAATAAGTTTTTTGTGAACACGAATGCGTTGGTCTCACAGAGTCTAGCTGCAACCCTGCACCTTTTTCGTCTTCGGCATTTATTGCTAGTTTTTACAGACGTGTTCCTATGGAGTTACTCCTGGAAAATAACGCTTTCATGGGCGCAGGTGTACACAGTGGAGTACAGTCCTGTCTTGGAAACTTTTATTCCAGCGTCATGAGAGAGTAAACAGGGCTGTCGACTCTTAACAATGCAGGCATGCGGATTCAAGAAACGGTAACGGGTTAGACGTTAGCTTTGTGTCCGCCGCACATGAACAAAAA